CACACTGCTGCCACCCAGGAAGAGACTGACTGTTTCATTCAGCCCATCTCATGCTTTCTCAGGTTGAACTGAACTTCCCCTAGGATACCTCCGTAGGGTCGTCCCACCCAGACAGGACGGTCATGTCCATTCGCATTTGTAACAACTGAGGAAGCAGCTTCCCACAGAGGCCTGCCTGTCTGACACAGAAAACAGAATCTCTGCTCAAAGAGCTATGCCTGAGGGCTTACTGCACTTTACTTCCATAGCCCGGAGTCTGCGGCCTTGCACATGCAGGCAATTAGTAAACGTTTGTTAAATGACTGAATTACATCCTAAGTGCATAGCTACAAAGTTTCCTCTCACAGCCCTTCTTGCATCTGAGTGTCCATATGAATATGTGAATACCTACAAGTTAAAACTTCCAAGACTTACTCTTCCAAAGTATGGTGTCTGTGGAAATGGGGATAACTAAAAATTGGGAATGACCTGGGTTCTCCAAGGAAGGAAAATCCCCTTTATCCCCCACGCTCTCTGTGTTCGGGAGGTCAAACTGCATATATAAGCTGAGTGAGACACCTCGGCTCACAGTAATGGGTGCGAGAACCTGCCCAGGGCCGGCACTTCGTGCACAGCAACTATGAATGACACAGAAACTGAGGCACGGCCGGCTTTCATAGGCCACACAAGTCTTAGGACGCAGGACAGAAAGTCCAGCCAGATGTTCTTGATTTCAGATTTCATGCTCTGTCCACTGCATCAGAATACTTTTCAACATACATTAAAATACGCAATTATATAATGAAACTATATCATGATGTTAAAACTATATTCAATTTAAGTAGTACTTAATCATGATTATAAGTCCCATTACAATGTAATTCTTTACTTAACACTAATTGCTTTTTCCCCTTTCAGACAATCAGCCAATATTACTCAAACACTTAAAAAATGTTATTTGGACATTCAAAAAACCTGGGTTGATGATAATATTTTGAAGAGTTCAGTGATATGTTCAAATTAGACAGCAATTTTAAAAAAAAACCTAACTCCCCACCAGATTTACAAGTGACACAGAAAAGTTGTAAATGCCTTTTTATGCATACACAAATTAGCATGGCTGCTTTATGAGGTAGGAAGGAGCACTGTGGCATCAGGCAAACAGATGTGTGTCAGCGGCATTCCTAAATGTGTAGCTCCGATCTGCACTTACGGTCCCTGCAGTAACAGCTGTCATGGAACTGTGCAGTCTTAGGCACATGAACATGATAACCGCCAAAGGTTTTTACTTTAGCCTTGCAGAGAGTCATGGCAGAGAACGCAGAACTAGAGAATGTCATTGCAGAGCTATAAGGAAGGGTAGTTGGTGATCCAGAATAGTTCAGAAGTTCTTGTTGAGATAGTGCGTTTGTAAAGTTCTGCTAGTACTAAATTCAGTACTTTCTAGCACTGCTCAACACCAGCACTGTTTCTAAAGTAAATGAAAATGCCTTGTGTGCTTTATTCCATTATGAATTTCAGACTAAATCAAGAGATTTTAATAGGTACACAACACAAACTCTGCTTTCTGCTCCAATCTGTTCTCCTCGCGGACATCACAGAACTCCACCCCAACTCCCTGGGCCCCAGAAGCTGAGAGAAGGGGGTACTCTCCTGTCACACAGCATTGGCTAGAAGCTGGGATGTGCAGCGGGGAGAAGAAAGTGTGAACAAAGAATCATGAATAATTGTGAATCCACCGTTCTACTCACTTTCCCCCTCTGGAGTTATGGTTGTACTGCCTGCTACCAGCATCGCAGAGATACTAATAGAGGAAGAGATGCTGACCACAGCAATGGGCTTCCCCAGCTCCCTTCCTCACACCCCTCCTGTGGCCTAGCACGGGGATAGCCTTGGTACTGTCCTCCCATAGAATTGGGCCCCGGACTCGGATAGGATCAAGGCTCCTCTGTGGTTCCTTTGAGTCTTCAAAGGGTGAAAAATGACATGCAAAGGACGCTATTATCTGGGTGTACACTCTGCTGAATTCCTGGTCTATGTCAACTTTTGCGATATTTCAAAATTTCTTTAAGAGCATCTCCTGCCTTTTCAGTCTCCAATGACTGACACCTAATGTTGTAACTCAAATATCATAACTGATTTCTCTTCTAATCTGCACACATATTTTAGCAAACGTGGAAGTGTAAACATCTAGAAACTGCTCAACATGGTTGCTTACAGAGATGGACTCCAAAAACGAATTTACCTTATATTATTATTATGTGAAAAATATGACATGAATTCACCTCGTGACTGATTTTTATTTTGTCCTTTATGAGTCTTGAATTTGATCAGCTTCCATGGAATGCAGAATATTTTTAAAATAATACTTTGTGAGTTGTTACATAAACCTGTTTTGATGTACTTTAAGCAATTAACATGACAAAATATTTTTAGTATATCTTGACTATTAGTAAAAAATAAATTGTCTAGTAGTTTCTGATTTTTTATTTCAGTCAGTCACATATCACTGAATTCAAAGCATCTGGAATGTGCCAGACTGTGGCAGGTCATATGGATAGTTTCAAATATCTGAACTATTTATATACTTTATACTGCTAACAAATATATTTGTTGCACCAAGTGTGTATCAGCATGATCATTTAAAATTAAAAAACTGAAAGAAACAATCTATTAAATTAGTTCAATAAATAAATCATTGAGCACAAAAATGGGAATGAAATGATTTTAAAATCTGATTTTCTGTCTCTGTACATTTTGAATTAATCAATATTTTCTTATTAATTTCCCATTACTATAACATATGTGAAGTTGACTGTACCATAATGGCAGATGAACTAAAATAAGTGACAAGCATTAAATATTTCTAATTTTAACTGTTAGTTAGGGATGTTTTACACACATATGTGCACAAAAACAGCATGGTACTTATTTAAATATATATATTAAAGTCACACAAATATCTATTCACTTTTAAAAGTTGATGACATTACTGAACAAATAAGTATGAAAGATTTATTTCTAAGAATCTTCATTCCAAAATATTTCATGCTAAGACCATATTCCAGAAATATGCATATCATCTCATTTCTCAACTGCAAATGTAGTCATATGAATCCATATGATAACAAAAATATGAACATTAATAGTGTACTTGGCATAAAAGAGACATTGATAAATTTCCATCAGGACAAATTTCAAATCTTGTCATTAATCGCTAATATATGCACATCAAGGTGAAATAATAATACTGCAGCTACATATAAATTATTATTTAGATTTCCACAGTTGATCTCTTCACTCTCTATCTTATATGATTTAATAAGGTTGTTGTTATATATATTAGCAACTACATATCCAATGTCTAAATGCAGCTGAGTCATCAACCATAGTTTTTACAAGATTACCATTTATGTTAACAAAACCAATGAATTTTTAACAAAAGTAGTATATCACAATAAAAAAGACTCTTTCACCTTCTTTTTCTGCAACATTAATGAAGCATATATAATATTGTTACCTAGCTAGAATACATTACTTTTAAGTCCCCAGTATGAGTTTCTGTTGCGTGTATCTGTGAGTATGTGTGCTAATTGTATATATGCCTTCAGTTGCATCAGCCTTCTAATAGGATTAGATGTAGGCACTGGTTTTTCATTTAACTGGAAAAGCCAAAAAGTTTAGAGATAAGATAGGAAGCAATAAGGACAATTTTTTGCTTAAATTATGTGGCCCTTTAAATCATACTGCACAAACACGAGAAGAAACAAAGATCCTATCTTGAGAAACTGCAGCACATAAATGTTTCCACTAGGCAAATTGTCAGGACTGACTGAACAGCGTCAGTGAAAGCAGGTTACACAACTGGAGAAAAATCTTGATGTAAGAGCCCTCTTCTGATAAAGACACAGTTTTTCAAGCCATCTCTCTTACCCTAAGTATCTAGTCAACTCATTTCTAAGTGTTACGAGTTCTTTCCCTTAAAAACAGAAAACACTGGCTATTCTATAGTCTACTCTTATCCTAGGTCAAATTATTCAAACTTCAAATTATTTTTTTTAATCACAGATGATGAGGATCCAACATATTATTCAAAATTTAATAAAGGAAAACCATCTCCATCCTGATAGTTTGTATAGACAATCAGAAAGAAAACATTAGTGATCATGTCATCTAGAATAAACAGAATTTTCCCAAAAGAATAGTAGACTCAAATAAACCTTCCAAATTTCTACTGGTACTTTTACTGATACATTGGAAATAACACCATTGACAAAAGCAACCTAATGATTTTCAGCAACATTAAATAATATTATCTCGACCAGTTAAAATTTCAAAAATAACTGCAGTGGTAAATGGCAGTTACCCAATTTCCATTAGCGCAACTCAAATTTCACTAACACATACAATATACATTAGAGAAAATGAAGGGTTGCTACCAGGTTTTTGCAAGAGGGAAAAAAAAAGCAAAAAGCACATGAACAGGAATAACCATATCAAAGTAAGAAATGGTAAAAGGCATTGTTTGGATAATTCCAAACTCATCATGCAACATACTAATAACAAGTTCAAAGACAGTAGTATTTCCTCATTAAAAATATTCTCCAGTAGAGATTTATCATCCTTTTTTGAAATGTTATAAATAAATCAATCCCTTAATAATCACAAAAATATCTTCATAGGTCATGAGAAGCAAGTTATTAACATAAAGATATTCATTAACATGTTTGAAAACTTTTGAGTTATTTGTTCTTTTATCTCAATATGTCATAATTGATATAGGTTAGATATACACTCTAGTTAGATATATATATATGTGCTAGTTAGATATATACTCTTAATCAGTACTACATCAAGGTAAAACAATCAGTTTGGAAATTTAAAGTGTCCAAATATTTTCTCCATGGATCATCTTTGTGTTTTATGATTGTCTTACCTCAATGATTTTGTCGTGAATCTCCAAGCCATCTGGTCTGTCAGCAGGTCCATTTTCCAAAATTTTTGAGACATAAATTCCTTCTGTTAATGTTTCTTCCTCATTATTCTATAAAAAATAAAACATTTTTAGCATTAAGAAAGATGGAAACAAAATTTTAAGTTGGATAAAGGGCAATTCAGTAAATGTGACATTGCCAATCCTCCCTAAACATGCATCTCTAGGGATTAGACACTGAATTTTAACTTACTTAACACCAAATAATCCTCAATCAAGATGGCAGCTTTGCCCAATGAGCCCAGCATCTATTTCCAACAAGATTATCCATTTTAGCACACAAAAAAAGCTATGGGGAAAGGACATATACAAGTTGATATCAACTGGCACCTAAGTATTACTTATAAAACATCTTACTTATAAAAAGATGTAGCAATTAAATAGGGTTAAAGAAAACAAAAAGCATATCCAACCTCACTATATAATTGGTCACAGTGAGATGTGGTCATAGTTTTGAAAACATAATTTAGCTTCATGATATGACAGACTTGGAATTATCGCTAACTATATAATAGATACATTCACAGGGCAGACTTACGACTTGCTTACGTCTAAAATTCCAAAGATCAACTCCAAACCACAAGGGAACCCATTCAAGGTTAATCTTTATACATTTCCAGGTTAACTTGTTTACAATAAGCTGTTTAGGCAGTTTCTGTTTGATAATACTAGGCAATTGTATCACCTGTTTCTATCTCCTGTTGTATCTGTTTGGTCAGCTTCAGATGCTAACATAGACTGGCTACGGCATAATATGTTAAATGAATAAATGAACAGTTAAAGTAAGTTGAAACAAGACATAACTATTTTTGCAATTACACAGGAGATACCATGTTAAAGAAAGACAGTTGATTTGAAATATTTTTGACCTAACTGCTTAAACCTCAAACACAGCCAATATGGTACAAACAGAAAAATTCTAGCAAGTCACCAGAAACCAATTATATTACAAAACTTATTTATGGAAAATGCCCAACATCATATGATATATTGTATTATTTTAAATGTCATTTTACCTCATGGCAGATTAAATAAAATTATTTCTCCCTAATAACCTTCCTTAACATGAATTTTAAGAGGCTCTTAAAAATGTCCAATGCCATCTAAATGTCAAACACCTAACTAGCATTTATGAAAATCTTCCTTAGGGGAAAAGAAAAACTGAAATGATGAAAACACTTCTATCTCTTCCTAATAAATGGGGACTGTTCTAGAAACAGAAGGATTTCAGTTGTTAGTTGCTAGGTTTTTGAAATACTAAACAGAAAGAAGGCTGTATGTCACTGCCATCTTGACATAAACAGAGCGAACGGCCAACTCTAAGATAGTTGCAATGCAGGATGCAAAAATTTCCTGGCAGTTGATTGGAAATATTAAAGGATAGGATTGCTTTTAAAACTTCACCACCTTTTTCGAGTTATGTTGAAAATTAAGTTGATGTAGTATTTGAAGGCTGTAAAAGAACTTTGCAACTACAGTATTCGGTATAAGTTTATAACTCGTGCATTGGGAAAACAATTGGCACCATGTAGAATATATTATTCATTTGATTAAATGAAGGATTTGACTGGGGGAGCCAAAAATATTTCAAACCAACTGTCTTTCTTTAACATGGTATTTCCTAGGTAATTGCAAAAAAAAAAACCAGTTATCCCTTATTTCAACTTATTTTAACTGCTCATTCTTTTATTTAACATATTATGTGGTGTCCAGTCTGTTAGCATCTGAAAACTGACCAATTTGACTTAAAAAGAAAATACAAACAGGTGATACAATCGCCTAGTATTATCAAATCGAAACTGCCTATATACCTTATTGTAAAATAGGTTAATTAAAAAAGTTTGCCAATGGGCCTACAGAAGGTAGATAAAATTTGAAATGTACTCTGTTCTTTAAAAAGTAACAAAGAGAAACAAGCCTTTTAGCTGTTGGGTGTTTTTATTTTGTTTTTCTCAAAAAAATCTAGGTATGCTTTGGAACATTTGCACTAGGTATCTGATATTTAATCACAGCATGATTTTAAATATAAAACCATTTGTTCTTCTTACTCAAGATCCACAGATGAAAGTGAGGCCTTCTGTTTATTAGCTTATAAGCAGAGTGACTTACGCAGAAACAAGGTGGATTACCTGATTCGGTCGACCTCCTATAATATTGAATCCCAATGTGTCATTTTCTCTTTCTAACACAATGGTGAGTGGCTTGTATTCTCCATCCTAAAAGAAAATGGATAAAATAACTAGTTACATAAGAAATATAAAAGGAAAACTAAATGGCACAGTAAAGCCTTTTTTCTTTTTACCATAAATAAATCAACATTTGAAAAGGCAAAAAACCTTAAAATTAAGGATTAAGGTTGGCTGAATTTGGGAGAAGGTTAATATTTTCCTTAGAAGAAATTACTTAAATGGAACTGTGCATGTGAGAAAAATATTTTTTAAAATGACTAAATGGTTTTGTATTTCCACACATGCAGCTATCTTTTATCCTAATGCAGCATCTAATTTTGACTTCATGGTAATTAAAAATATATTTCTGGTTTAATTTTACATTTTTTCACCTCCATTACAGAACAGAAAATAAGTTGCTACAGGATCTGAAAATTATTTTATGTAAAAACTTCACTTTGGAAAACCTTAAGGGATTTAAGGAACAGTGAGCTATTTATAAATGTCAACAGTAACATTTGGATGGCTTCTGTAACCATTTTGTAAATTTACCTGGATATACAGAAGCTAAAGAAAGAATCAGAGGTAACATCCGGCCTTTTAATAAGCAACTTGCTCTTGTTTATCACAGTAGAAATATTTCAGCTCCTTACACTTCAGTTATCTTTTTTTAGGTTCAAGGACAGAAGGTTCTAAACTCAAAGCCCGAGTTCTAATTCTAAATAGCCATCCTAATTCTAAATAGTATTCTTATTGGGTTTTTTTTT